GCACCCAAAGTTAGCAACTCTCTGCTTTGTTTTTTATGCATAAATGATTAAACTTGAAGCCTACTCTTTTAAACCATGAGCTGTATAATCTAATAGTTACATTCTCAGCTACATCTCGAAATACGTACTAAACAGATGCATTATCACCATAGCTTTTATCACCAGCTCCTGCAGTAATCCTTCTGGTTAATGATCCTGATTTAAAAAATCATTACAGTTAACAACTACTGATATTTTACTTTCAGCATTTTGGCAGTCAGAATTGCTTAAATGAAACAGTTCAATCTTTCTAAATGACAATAATGGCTCTCATTATGGCAACCTGCAGGACTTCCACTTTGGTGCATTTTGATCTATTATCGCCTCTGATGCTATAGTCATTAGCATAGCATTAGAGTACCGTAGGTCTTTGTCAGAAAGTTCGTCAGGAATTCTTGTTTGAGGCCTACAACTGTAACCTTTTAACGAGTATCTGGCATGCCAACCTTTCATCGGACACAGGATACAGTAACTGGATGCCATTGCACATTGTTTCACATTGTTTATTTAATGCACAGCAACAATGTGGTTTACTTTGAACCACTCTGTTGGCTTCATCCAACAATTATTTGTAGGTATGGGTGCAACAGTACAAGTACACACGTATATAGTTCCACCCCAAAGTATTTCAATGACTTCCACGTAAAATTAAATATGACTGCTTGGAGCAGCCTGCCATATTTTTCAACCCCCTGGACCAATATGGTTATCTGTTTTTCTATCTCCTGTGAGCTCACATCTGCCTATATTCAGAGTGTTCTCATAGCTGGTATAGGAACATTTGGTGCCTAGACAGACAGATGAGCAAATTAACCTGGGAAATCGAAAATGCCCATACCTGTGCATTAGGGAAAATGATCCAAAATCCATAGAGGCAACATCTTTATCAGAACCAACCAAAATGTCACAAAATAGTGGGCAAGCTTTTGAGTTCCACAAAACCCTTCATCTGTCTGCATATTAAGCAAATCAGAGGGAATGGGGAAGAACACAGTCATTATGCTAAATCCACAAAGTCTGCTGTTGTAATAATATAAGATGGAAATATGGAGGCTTGCAGAATTTATTTTAGTGCCGTGTGCTTTAACTGAAGTTGCACCTGCTGTGGCTAGCATATTTGTTGTTTTGATTATTTATGTATTGATCTTATGATTTGATTATTTATTGTGTCTTTAAAAGCATGGTGTAATCTGCATTGTGAAGCTTTTACCTTGAAACGTGGGCCAGAAATCTGCTAAGCAAATAAAATATCTATTAGTCCTTCATAGGAGTTAACATGTGCCAGTTTTTCACCAAGGGCATCGTGGACCCGGTGATGCCAGCTGGGATGGGGCTGGAATAGCAGGATCTGGCAGGGAGAGTAGAGGAGGAGGACCACAAGTTGGTGGATGGAGACAGTGACTGGGACCAAGGTTCCACCCTGGGGCTGCTATCTGATAGTGAAGTTCCCATGGTAGCTGAGGATCAATGGCCACTTGGTGGAGTAAGCCAAGGCAGAGTGAGAGTGAGGGGGTTGGGTTTGAGTCCCATCACCAAGGACACACTGCCATCAGTGCAAGCACAAACAAACCTACATAGGTGTGAACATTTCCTAGCTGAGCCTACCACAATACTTGATCTGGCACTTCAGAAAACACTGAGGCTGGATCTAGACACATTAAAGAAAAAAAAATTCAGGAAAACACATTGTAAACCTCATAATGGGAAATAACGTTGCCAAAATACGGACCTCCACAGCACCATCTGGTGTCACAGTGTTGTAACACATTTAAAACGCTTTTTCTTTATTAATGTAACTGAGTCTTGAGTCTGCCTAAACCACATCAGTTTGAGGTGATGGGGACTTTCTTTACTGCTCCTCTGGCAACAGCTTATACTCTTCTTAGCAGTGGCTGCCTCCTGACATAGATTATCTGTGGCACCTAATAGAGCTCTGGGCTGGGACAGCTTATAGATAAAAATCAGTGTCACCATTTTCATGATGGCAGCCCCAGCCCCAATATGTTCATGTGGCAATGTGGGCTACTTCCATTGCATGTGCGCTGTGCAGATATGGATCCATGCTCATCTATACTGTCAGCAGCCTGGGCACAATGGCAACGGGTCTTGCAAGGGCTCCAGGGCCATGGCATTTGCCCCACCAAACTGTGTGCTTGTGTCAGGTCTGATGGTGATACTTAAAACTAGGCCATTTTGGAAAATGAAGACAATGAGCACTTCTTTTCTGAAACTGGCAGATCTTCTGTACTGCTTTCTCTGAAGGTGACCTGCTTTTTCGAAAAATCCACAATAACTTCTGCAAATGAAATTGGAAAGAAAATATATTGCTATCATAAATATCTGTTTTGTCTTCTTTGCTGCTATTATTTAACCTTTGTGAAAAAAGAGAGAGGCATTGCTAGGCTATCATTTAGATATAGCTGTCTTGTCTTTATTAAAAGCTACATCAAAAAATTAATAGGTGCTAATATCCTTTCCACAATATGCATAGATTCCTAGGTTTTATTTCATTATTCTCTTTGCCAATGACAACATGCATCAGGATAAGCTATTTTTAAGCTGTTATTAACTTATCCAGAACATCACATCTGTGAATCCAGTTTTGGTAAGTTATTATTAATAACACTCTATATGTTTCTGCAAAAAAATTATGGCTTTATTCCCTGTGTATGATTCTCTTATGATTGTCTTATACTTACAATTGTGATTTTGAGAACATGTTTGCTAGGGCGTGTGTAAAAGAAAATGTCTTTGTATTTTTATAACAAACAGATTTACAGCCTGTTCCTATGCATGCTAATTCAGAAATAAACTCTGTGTTGTTCAATAGCACCTACTCCCACATGCAGAGGAACTACACAAGTAATTCAATTTATTCCTAGTATAGGTGTCAGGGACTGGCTAGTTGAGGAAGAGCCCAACATGAAGGACATAGAAGACGATGACTTAGATCCCAGATCCTGGTGGTGGGACATTGAAGAGCAGTCTGCAGATGGGATGAGCTGGAAGGTGCTAGAAACAGGCGGGGTCAGCAGACGGAGAGCCTTCCAGTACAGGGTTAGAGACTGAGAGTCACAGAGTGGCTGGGGAAACCCAGCCAGATGGGCAGGGTATAAATAAATAAATTATTTATTATTATTATTATTATTATTATTATTAAAATGTGAGCATGGACTCAGACAGAGAAGAGTCAGAGGTTGCCCCTACTTTGCCCCTACTACACAGCAGCACAACAGTCCCAATCCATCTGCCTTCCCTCCCCCCATCTCTGTCCCCTTCTACCCTAAAAAATGGGTGAGGTTTGGTGAGGTGGGACATAGCGGTTACGTGGCTCAACTCTCCTGAGATGGGGAACAGCGCAACCAGCACCTCTGCAGAAATAAACTCCTCTCTTCCCTTGGTCTGTCAGAAGGGTGAACAAAAAAGTATTTGGCACAAGAGGAGGGTAGACAAGTAGCCACCAATGCACTTCTGGGAGCTCCCAGCCCCCCCTCCCCAGGAGCACAGCCTTGTGTCACTGCCCCACAGATCACCTCACCCCCTCTTACCTGGGCATTATGGGGGGCACCCTATTTTATTTGGCTGTTTTGAATCTCTCCTAGTTTAGTCTCCTGTGCACAAGATATTGGGGAGGGCAGAGTTAACACAAGCTCCCCTCTTGGTTTTCCTTTTGTGTGTACATATAGATTGGTGTGGAAAGACCTCACCCTGTGACTTGACAGCAGGGAGTGGACTGTGCTATGCCAGGGCTGCAGTTCTGCAGTCAGCCAGGGCTTAGTGGTACCCAGGGCTGCTGCAGTTGTAGCCTCTTTTCGTTCTCAGTAGCCTCCTATGTAGTGAGCCAGGCACTTCACAAATGTCCCTGAAACTCCCAACCTAGCTCACAAACTTCTCTGTTTCTGTAGCCCTTGGAGGCAGTGGGATGTCCAAGAGCTGGCCAGAATCCCCAGGCAACTGGTTTAGAGAGCTCTAGTGTTTGGGTAGGTTTTTATGGATCTCAAGATCACTGGAGATGTACTGTGGGTCCTGCTGTTCCTTCTGATCAGAGCAGAACCCAGACACCACCACAACCACCACCAAAACAACAGATTGAATTTATTGGTCACTCTTCTTTTTCCAAAGGCAGCTCAGCGTGACTTACAAGCAACATAACAGAGCTACATGAAGCAAAGTGTCACACTGACCATAACATGAGCTCTGTTTCATGTGGGAAGAAAAAGTCTTTCCAATATCATGCCCCCAAGCTCTTTTAGGGTCCTGAATGTTTGGACTTCAGGGTGAAAGAGAGAGAGAGAGAGAGAGAGAGACTATTAGCAATCTCAGCTCTGCTCTAATATATGCAAGCCATTCAGAAATTATTCCGGAATTCTTTCTAGCAAGAATGTTTGCCAGCAATTATCAACTCAAAATCTGAATGTCTTTCAGAAACATTTGACCTTCCTAGGATTACAAAACCAGGTTAGAGAAAGGAGTCATTATCTCATGCTGAGTCTATCAAATGGTTGAGTAGCATGTGAAAGTGAAACAAAAGAGCTCTCCCTATCTACATATTTCTCCGTCTGTCACTTAGTGGGAGAGAACACACACAAAGAGAATCAGCAATCCCTTAAAGGTGAACATATTTATTATGGCACAAGCTTTTGTGGACTACAGCCTCCTTCACATGAAGCTTTTTTTAATATATACCATGTGAGACTAATGATGTCCATCTAGACCAATATGATCTACTCTGACAGCAACTCTCCATGGTCTCCAGCAGAGAGAGGACTTTTCCATCTTCCCTGATCTTTTTAACTGAAGATGGTATGGACTGAACATGGGACCTTCTACATGCAAAGCATAAGAATACTGGACGGTGCCTTACACTGAGTCAGACCATTGTTCAATGTAGCTCAGTATTTTCTACAGTGACTGGAAGTGGCTCTCCAGATTTTCAGACAGGGGTCTCTCCCAGCCCTAGCTGGAGAAGTCAGGGATTGAACCCGGGTTCGTCCACACACAAAGCAGATGCTCTACTACTAAGCAATGGCCTTTCCCCAAATGTGCAGTGTTCCACAGTACCCCAACCTCTGAGCCGTGTAAGCTTCCAGGTATTCTCTCTACTGACACAAGCTTCAGTTTTCTTGGAACGAGGGACAGCAGAGACTGTGGTGTCTTTGCGATATATGGTTTATATACAACCTCAGCCTACAATGGAGGTGCTCACAGTATTGGCACACCAAGATGGTCTTGCTTCTCCCATAGTCACAGCCTTGAATTCAAGCAGAAATCAAACATTCATCTCCTTCACGTACTTCAGTCTGTCTCCTGCTTCTAGTTTCTAGCTCACACACCCCAGCACGCCTTACCTTTCCAGACTGAAGAGTGCTTCTTACTGTCTTAGTGGCCTCCCTCACAAGGTGGTTGCATAGCTGTCAACTTACAGATTTGAAAATAAGGGACCAGCAGCCTTGAAAATAAGGGACCAGCAGCCTTGAAAATAAGGGACCAGCAGCCAAAATAAGGGACCTGCAGCCTCACCTGTTCCAGGCACTCCAGTCTTCCTGTCCTCCTGCAGTCTGGTCAAACTCATGCTGGTAGCTTTGAGAACACTGTCCAACCAACTTTGTAACCAGAAGTTCAACTGAATAGAATCTGAATCACATGCACCACAAGGCCTATGCAGCCTCAACTTAAGATGGCTCCCCGGCCTGGCTTTGCACTGAAAAGTTTGCAGCAGCACGTGCAACAAAATGGTGTCCAGCATTCAAAAAACCCCTCAGCTTGCATTAACTAGCCACACACAAGGCATTCAAGCTCCACCCCCCAGTCGTTCTTAGACTTCTTATTGGGTGAGCAACACAGCCAAGCAACACAGTTGGAGCCTCCCTCCTCCCTGGCCGGCAGGGAGGGAGGGACAGGAGCTGCTTCCTTTGAAATTTAAGGGACATCATTTAAGGGACATTTAAGGGACATCCATCAATAAGGGACAGCAGCGGGACATGGCACTGGAATAAGGGACTGTCCCTTCAAATAAGGGACACTTGACAGCTATGGGTGGTTGTGCTTGAGTTTGCATATACAATTGCAGGTTTCTAACATTTTGCATTTATATACGCATATACTTATTGTGATGGGATGATGAGCTGCTTGTGCGTAAAATCGTATTCCCTCAGAGTTTGTTCAAGTCCACAAACCTCTGTCTGTGACAGAGCCCCTCAGACATGGCTGCTCTAGTCACTAGCAGATTCCGACAGTGGTTGCTTCGTAATCGCTTCCAACATAAAAGCTCCTTAACGGAAACACGTCTTCTGGAATCTCTGCGTGACAGTTTCCGGCGAGGAGTGGGTGTTCTTACAGGAGGTTCTGAAACCTCCCCACTGTTTTCGCTGGAAGTGTCTCTGAGCCATCCCTCCAGCTCAGCTCCTCTCCCCCTGCTGGTTCCTTCTTCAGCTGCTGCGTCTCTCCCAACCTGTGTGAGCCCTTTCACCTCCCTTCCGTCCGATGGCAGTTCCCTGACATCCACCTCCCCTCCAGGGCCCCCTTCACCCCCTCTCCCCCCCTCCTCTACGGGCGGTGAGGAGGCAAACCCCGGAATGAACTTCCTTCATCTTCCGATGTCTCGAACACTTCTCTCAACCTGTTGCGGTTCCTGGTCTCAAGTACACCTCCTCCTCAGAGTCCATCTCCCCTTCCCCTTCCGAGTCCGGGAATCCTTCCAACTCCTCCCCTTCATCAGTGGTCCCAAAGTATTCCCTCCGGAACCTCTCCACAGGCTGAGGTTTCCTTGGGAACCTTTGATGGAACGTTTCTATCAATACCTCGTCATTGATATCTTCAGCCATTACCCAAGTGTTTTCTGACTCCGGTTCTCCTTCCCACGCTACCAAATACTCCACCTGATCCCCCTTCCACCTGGCGTCGAGGATTTCAGCCACATGGCTGCTGCATTCTCTTTCTTCTACGACCGGTCCCCGAGTGGCCAGCCCTTCTCGTCCCCCATCGTACGGTGACAGTAACGACCTGTGAAATACTGGGTGCAGTTTCATGTGGTTGGGTAACCGGAGCCTGAAAGCCACTGGGTTGACCTGTTGAATGACCTCAAAGGGACCCAACCTCCTGGGTCTTAATTTCTTACAACCTCCTTTGAACGGCAACCCTTGGGTTGACAACCACACCCTATCTCCCACCCTTATGGTTTCACCTTCCCTTCGGTTCTTGTCTGCCTGCCTCTTGTATTCTTCCTTCGCCCTTTCTAAGTTGAGTTGGAGCTGAACGGGGGAATGATTAATGGACTTCAATGTCTGTACACTAATGCGCAAAGCATGGGAAATAAACAAGATGAGCTTGAGCTCTTGGTACAGCAAACTAAATATGACATAATAGGCATCACTGACACCTGGTGGGATAAGTCCCACGATTGGAATGTCATAATGGGGGGATACAATCTATTTCAGAGAAACAGACCAGACAAGAAAGGAGGAGGAGTGGCGTTATATGTCAGGGATGTGTATACCTGTGAAGAGATCCAAGATTTAGAACCTCAAAGCCAAAGTGAGAGCATTTGGGTCAAAATTAAGGGAGAGAAGAATAACAGTGACCTCATTGTGGGAGTTTACTATAGATCCCCAAGCCAAACGGAGGACATAGATGATGCCTTCCTGGAACAGATGGCCAAGCATGCAAAAGGAAGGGAGATAGTAGTAATGGGGGACTTCAATTACCCGGATATTTGTTGGATGTCAAACTCAGCCAAGAGCATAAGGTCAAACAGATTCCTCACTGGCCTTGCAGACAACTTCATTGTCCAGAAAGTGGGAGAAGCAACAAGAGGAACAGCCATTTTAGATCTGGTCCTAACCAATGTTGATGACCTGGTTAGTGGGGTAGAAGTGGAAGGATCATTAGGCGCAAGTGATCATGCTCTTCTGAAGTTTACTATACAGCGGAAAGGAGCAGCCAAGCATACTAGGACTCAATTTCTTGACTTTAAGAAAGCTGACTTCATAAAACTTAGGGAAGTGCTGGGTGAGATCCCATGGACAGTAATACTAAAAGGAAAGGGAGTTCATGATGGCTGGGAGTTTGTTAAGAGGGAGATACTAAAAGCACAACGTCAGGCAATACCAATGAGACGGAAACATGGAAGGTGCCTAAAGAAGCCAGGGTGGCTATCTAAAGAACTTTTAACTGAGTTAAGATTAAAAAAGGATGTGTACAAAAATGGAAAAGGGGGAAACCACCAAAGAGGAATTCAAACAAATAGCCAGCACGTGTAGACACAAAGTCAGAAAAGCTAAAGCACAGAATGAACTCAGGCTTGCTAGAGAGGTTAAAAGCAACAAAAAGGCTTTTATGGGTATGTCCGTAGCAAAAGGAAGAACAAAGAAACAGTGGGGTCACTCAGAGGAGAAGATGGTGAAATGCAAACAGGGGACACAGAAAGAGCTGAACTCCTCAATGCCTTCTTTGCCTCAGTCTTCTCCGATAAAGAAAACAATGCCCGACCTGAAGAATTTGGAGCAAATGATTCAGCAAAGGAAACACAGCCCAGAATAACTAAGGAGATAGTACAAGAATACTTGGCTAGTTTAGATGTATTCAAGTCTCCAGGGCCAGATGAACTGCATCCAAGAGTATTAAAAGAACTGGCAGATGTGATCTCAGAACCACTGGCAGTCATCTTTGAGAATTCCTGGAGAACAGGCGAAGTCCCGGCAGACTGGAGGAGGGCAAATGTTGTCCCTATTTTCAAAAAGGGGAAAAGAGAGGACCCAAATAATTACCGCCCAGTCAGTCTGACATCAATACCAGGGAAGATTCTGGAGCAGATCATTAAGCAAACAGTCTGTGAGCACCTAGAAAGGAATGCTGTGATCACCAATAGTCAGCATGGATTTCTGAAAAATAAGTCATGTCAGACTAACCTGATCTCGTTTTTTGACAGAATTACAAGCCTGGTGGATGAAGGGAACGCAGTGGATGTAGCCTACCTTGATTTCAGCAAGGCATTTGACAAGGTGCCTCATGATATTCTTGTAAAGAAGCTGGTAAAATGTGGTCTTGACTATGCTACCACTCAGTGGATTTGTAACTGGCTGACTGACCGAACCCAAAGGGTGCTCATCAATGGTTCCTCTTCATCCTGGAGAAGAGTGACTAGTGGGGTGCCACAGGGTTCTGTCTTGGGCCCGGTCTTATTCAACATCTTTATCAACGACTTGGGTGATGGACTCAAGGGCATCCTGATCAAATTTGCAGATGACACCAAATTGGGAGGGGTGGCTAACACCCCAGAGGACAGGATCACACTTCAAAACGACCTTGACAGATTAGAGAACTGGGCCAAAACAAACAAGATGAATTTTAACAGGGAGAAATGTAAAGTATTGCACTTGGGCAAAAAAATGAGAGGCACAAATACAAGATGGGGGACACCTGGCTTGAGAGCAGTACATGTGAAAAGGATCTAGGAGTCTTGGCTGACCACAAACTTCACATGAGCCAACAGTGTGACGCGGCAGCTAAAAAGCCAATGCAATTCTGGGCTGCATCAATAGGAGTATAGCATCTAGATCAAGGGAAGTAATAGTGCCACTGTATTCTGCTCTGGTCAGACCTCACCTGGAGTACTGTGTCCAGTTCTGGGCACCACACTTCAAGAAGGACATTGACAAACTGGAACGTGTCCAGAGGAGGGCAACCAAAATGGTCAAAGGCCTGGAAACGATGCCTTATGAGGAACGGCTAAGAGAGCTGGGCATGTTTAGCCTGGAGAAGAGGAGGTTAAGGGGTGATATGATAGCCATGTTCAAATATATAAAAGGATGTCACATAGAGGAGGGAGAAAGGTTGTTTTCTGCTGCTCCAGAGAAGCGGACACGGAGCAATGGATCCAAACTACAAGAAAGAAGATTCCACCTAAACATTAGGAAGAACTTCCTGACAGTAAGAGCTGTTCGACAGTGGAATTTGCTGCCAAGGAGTGTGGGTGGAGTCTCCTTCTTTGGAGGTCTTTAAGCAGAGGCTTGACAACCATATGTCAGGAGTGCTCTGA